ACCTCTAAAGCCATTAGAGGAAAGAGATAAAACTTGTAATTTGTTGAGAGTACCGAATCCGTAAGGGAGTGAAGAGGTGGTAAAGTCATTGCGAGTGAGATTAAGGAAACGGAGATGATGAAACTGGAAGAGGGTACTGTTGGGAAACAAAGTTCCACTGAAACAACCACTTGGTATTTGTAGCTTAGTGACCTCACCGGTCGTGTTATCGCAACGGACTCCGCTGAAATACTCAGTCTGGTTGCAACCGGTGGAATCAAACTCGTTCTTGAACTGCGTAAGGGCTTTCAGATGTCGGGGATGGCAAGGAACAAGACCAGTAACAGGATTTTTCATAACAAAGATGCTTGTCACTGAGATGCAACTAAGCAAGAGAAAACTCAAAAGCAGATGCGAAGTCAACATTTTGTTCGTCTTTCAGTAAGGGAAATGTTATTGAAGCAGAGAGGAGGAGAAGACTTGTATTAAAAGTGGTTTGGCAATGGAGCTGTGACTTAACTAATATTATTATTTTTTGAAAACATCATAATCATCATCATCTCAAAGGTTATCATAGTCATGAATAAGTCTTATTACTTATTAGTACTATCTTGACTTGGACTATGTCACTAAAAGGTCTTGTCACTAAACCCAAATAAGTCAAATTTTCTTAAATGATCACGTTTATGGTTGTCTTAGCAAGAAGCCAGCAAAAGATTAGATGTCACTTTCCTTTTTTTGGGGTGGAAAATTAATGTTTTTGACTATGTCTTCTCTCTTCCAAACAAAACAAATTAATGTAACTTGTTCTGTAATGTAACAGATTCTCTCATCCACGACTTTGTCAAGGCTTTTAGGCTGCCCCTCCATGAATAAGACGGAATTTACTTCACTCTCCGATATTCCTTGTAGGTTTGCAAGAAAATGAATAAAGATGAAGATACGTAGAACAAAATTGTCATGTCCTATTCCCCAAAAAATCATGTAACCACAATAAAGCCCAAGAATTAATTAGAAAAACAAAGTGGGCGTCAGGAGTTTTTGTGTTGGAGTGGTACACACATATGTAGAGTTACTTGCATACACATATTGTGTGTGAGGGGTGGGGGAGCCGGCCAATATAATTGAGGGAGAAGAAGTGCTCGTGGCCTCTAACACTACCATCCTCGTGTTTTGATGCAATATTCTCTATATATGAATGCTAGATCATATAGTAGAGTCACATGTGTTAAAGTATAAATGTTATATAATTGGTTACTTTTGTGAATAAAGAAAAGCCTGAACTAGAAATTAATACTCTATATGATTGTCAAGGCAACCCAAACCGAAAATAGGAAATTTTTTATATCCCATCAATAGAGAACTAAAGTCACACAGGGTTTGCTTTGGAAGATCCATTCTCTAACTTTGGATCTTAAAAGCTATGGATACATCAAGTCCGCTTCCGCTTATGTCTATTCAATCAAAGAGTCATATGGTTAAAGGATTCATGTCGATGAATCATATAGAATATCTAACAATTGGTATCAGAGCACCATATTGATTTTTTTGTTTGGCTCAACTTGGAAACCGAAATTAGGAATGTTCACATGGGAACAATTTGGGCATATCAGGTCATTATTACCTATATACCCAAGAACTACTCTATATTTTAACATACAATGCAATACAAAAACAACAAACCAAACTTAAAATGAAACAACAACAAAGACATTAACATTGTTTTTGCAAGAACTCAAAACGAAAGGACATCAACATTGTTTCTGCAATCACCAGTGACATTGTGACAGCCTCAAAAGTTTAAATCATATCCAAAAGGAAAAAACAATGACCAATGACAACCTCATTTACGACGACCAAGACTCTAACTCTAACTAAATAATCCAGCATCTGAAACTAAGAAATAAGACATCAAGAATGATAATATATATCAAACTTTCGTAAAGAATAAAGAGAACAACATCTCAAACTTACCATTGCTACTGCTGCATCTCATTCTTAAAACTCAAAGATCTTGGAAGTTAAAAAAGGTTCACATTCTTAATAAAAATGAAATAAGTGAAGGTTAGTAATCACAAGTAATAAACATAAGACCTTGAAAGAAAATTATTAGAGGCTTGAAATTACCTCTCATTGGATAAATTTTCGTCTCCATCCTTGCAAGTAGTTGTTCTGTTCTTGTAACTCCTTTGCCATGAACTTTAATCTCACATTTAAGTCCTTTCTTGGTGAACATTAACACCTCTATCATGTAATAATTATTGAACATTTTCAACAACATAATTCACATCAAGCCAATAAGTTATAAATAGTTTTCCCATCATTGGTTTTGGATCAGAAACCAAACATTCTCATCTAAGAATTTTTAATGTGCAATACTCATTCATGTTGCTCCACCATAGAGGTTTAAGATGAGCTTTCTAATCAGCTGAGAATATATGTTAGATATGAATCTCCATTTATACTAAGAATCTAGAGCCATCCACGAAAGATATAAGTAAGACTTGATTTGGAGACCAACATAAAGAGGAGAAAACAAACAGTTATTAAGAAAATAAATTGAAATGGATTATCATTGATCATCGGACTAAAAAGAATGAAAAATATAAGTTCAAATACCATTCAATTATATAGCTTACTAAAGCAGTTACCAAACATATTTACTAACCAAGATAAATAGATTGATCACATCACATATACCAGCTGTAAATGCTTCAATTAGAATTAATGTTCTAGAAGAACAATATCAAAGTATCTATTACGCCTAAAGCAGTATAGACATGTTGGTTTCAAAGATATGAATCTTCAAATGAGGAAATAAAGTTTTTGAATAATCTCAAAAAGAGACGTTAAACATGACAGGAAGAAATTTAGGTATCTGAGACAGTGAAGAGATCTCAATAAATTAGGTCATGTATGAAATAAAGTGGGGAAAATAAACAAATAAATTTAAATGATATTTTTATGTAAAGTAATAGTAGATATGATAAATGGGAAAGATGGTCATGAAAAAATATCTATCGAAATGTGTACACAAAGAAATGATTGTTCAAATCAGAAAAAAAAAAACAGTAGACAAGATATAAGTTCTTGTGCAAGAGCGAAGGATTTGGACCAGTAATCTATACACTAAAAGGTGTAAAATAAGTGGGATACAAATGAGCCGTTGCACCAAAGAAAGATTAATATGAAAGTGATTGTGAATCGATAGTCTCATGTGTTAGATGCAACTATTTTTAAATTCCTTATTTGTCTAGTAATAAAGAAAGAATTTTAACTATATGATCTATTGAAATGATAATCCACTTTGGTATAATGAACATCAAGTAGAAGTGTTATAAATGTTATATGATGTTCATTACGTAAATTTCTAGATTTATTTGCCTACTAAAATTTACCTATTCTATACATTTCTATATATATGATTGATTATCAATGGAATAACATGTACCAACTTTTTTTCTTTCTCTTCTTTTCTTATATCAGTATGCATGTTAATATATATGTTTTGTTTTCTTTCTTGACACCAATATGTGGACTACGATAATAAAGACTGTTATGTTGTCCGCCGCCTTTGTGTTTCCGGATTACTTCAATTGCTGGCTTTTGTGTTATTGTTCGTTTAATATATCTAAGCTTCAGTGGAAACTGGAAAGGAATCTGCACATTTGCTACTTACTCTCCGTATGTCTCATAATACTTTTCGCAAGTTTGATTAAATAAATATAAGAGTCATTTACACTACAAGTCACTTTTGCACTTTTTATTACATTTTAAAACACATTTTACTACTAAGGTAGTTTTGCACAGATTCCCACACAATCAACCATAGAAAATTTCCAAAATACCCTTCTTCTTTTCTCCTCTCTCTTTTTTGTCTGTGTCTTTGGTTTTGTTCTTCATCTTTATTGACGGAGAAGAATAAATAAATTAGTAAGAGTATTGAGACCACGTAGCTGAGAGGGTGTATATCTGATTAAAAAATGAGACCATTGGAAACTTGATAACAGTGGCAGAGATGACTGTGGGAGGAACGACATATATAGGATTATTAGTAACAGAGACAGAGGAGCAGAGATGGTGATGGAAAGAGATAGATCTTAAATGGATTACACAATCAAAGGATTGGAGGTGACGAAGTCTGCGACGATTCAGAATCTGCTTCTTCGATCTACATGTTTAACTTTATTTGTTATGATGATCATGAGGATATGCTTGTTACTTCGAAACAGAGTTCCTGCGAACCTTCATTTTTCTTAAAACTTGGAATCCGAGGTTTGTGAAAGATTAAAGCTTTCTTGTTAGTGTGAAACTAGGGCCGATTATTTAGGATTGTCTCAAGGCTGATTTGTGGAGTTACTGTAAAGAATTGGTTCAACTTTTTTATGTAGATAGCCCTGGACTATTTATATACAAGTATTGCAGAAGTACAGAAGAAAGGGGAAGATTTATAGTTTTTCAAAATTGGTTTCATATGAACAACAAAGAACTTTTAACCGACGTGTACATTAATGTAATGTTGTCCACATGTACACCGGATTACAGTCTATACATACATCAGTTTATAACATTCTCACTTCTTTGTGTTGCTTATATTGCTTGCTTTCAAAATTGACTTCATATGTACAACAAAGAAAGTACATATACTCTTTGTTATTGAATGTACATTGATAATGCTATCCACATGTACACCATATTACAGAAAACGTACACAGCATTACAATCTATGTGTACGCCCCCCTACAATCTATCCATGTGTACACCTCCTACAAGCCATCTATGTGTACACCTCTACACTAGATTCACTTCTGCACATTTGACATAACCAAAAACATATCCATATTAACTCATTTTCAGACTGCGTGGACTCTCTTTTTGAATCATGATTTTGAGATTCTTTGAATCTCCATTCACCCACACATTTGCAACATATCCTCTAGTAACAAAGAATAACAGCGGTTCGTCTCTATACTAGGAGATACATAGAACCAATTAGAACCTTGAGATAGATTCTAGTAAAGATGTTAACACCATTGATAAGCAGAGCACATCTGATCTCTGTGTCTTGTTACTTCATGTCCCAATCACAAGCGGAGCTTTCTACGGTGACAATGGTGGGAAAAAACTTCTGAATCAGATGGCCAGAGCTACCGTCATAGCCGTAAGGAATATGGTGTCGACGATTCTCCTACTACTTGCTTTAAAGATGTTAACACCATTCAGAATAGCTTGGAATTGGAGATGATGCTGCTCATAGAGAAGAAGCTTATGCTCTTTGTGGAGACGGAGAGGAGTGCGATGCCTCGTGGCTTACACCACAAACATAACAGTTTGAGAGAGATCAAGAAGTTGGTCATCCTTCTTATGTTCATGGTTCTAGAGGCGTTACAATTTCATTTACTAAAATCAACATGGTGTTGGCATCAAGTGGTGTCTCTCCATAATGTCATGCTCTGAAATATAATAACATCTTTACCTTAGGTAATCTTACAATATTCTTTGATCTGATTTATTTGCCTGCATAACAGATAACTGAGTCTTGTTTCGTCTCTATTATATACCAGCCAATATATGTACACCTTTCTCATCATGTACAAATAGATGATCATGTTTATCATGAAACATGTGTACATATTGTTATCAAACCTAAGTTTCTTACGTACATAAACACTAAATTTGAACACACATATTTGCATGTTTGACCATTACGGATAACAATATTAGTATCCAGATGTACACATATTTCTTGTACATCGCTATGTTGATATCCACATGTACATTTATACACATGTACACCTTCAATTTAAAGGGAAAAAAATTAGATAGTTAACTATCACTTGAGGTTAACATATAAAAAGCGAGTTACATCGATTACACATTGGTTGCTTTAATGAGTGAAAATTCAACAAGTACATATATTTCTTGTACATATATTTCTTGTACATAACATGTACATCTATACACATATATTTCTTGTGCATCGTTATGCTGATATCCACATGTACATCGTTATGCTGATATCCACATGTACATCTATACATACTGCAAAATATTTTCATCAAGCTGAAAATCAACACCACAAACATATCCAATGTACCGTACATCATCATTAGATAACCTAGCGCATATATCAAAAAGCAAAGGTGGTTTTCTGGAGAGCTTCTCAAGCAACATATCAGCTACTCTTTATAAGTCCTACATAAACAAAGAAGAATAATCCTTTCAATATGAAATCACAATGAGACACAAGTAGGTTATATAGTTCATCAGCTAAGTGTAGAATCTGATGTAGAAAGGTCACAGTTTGATAATAAAAAACAAAACCTTCATTTAAAATCCTAATCTTGATTCAAAGGATATGATTTCATCCAATCAATTTTGAATTCAACAATCCGATTCCAAATCAAAAACAGTAGATGTGTTACAAGAGAGACGAATCGAAGATTGCCCCCGAAGTAACCGGATCCAGAATCTCCTCAGTATCGAAGAATCCTTTCCTCCTCGTGATTCCGAAGCCCTCACTGATTTCTCTATTCCTGTGCCGTCAACAGAGAGGAAGAGGCAAAGCTAAAGACAATGTCGCTTCTCCTCACTGATTATTCAATTCCTCCACCGTCAACAGAGAGAAAGCAACAAAACTAAAGACTATGTTGGTTCTCCTCACCGATATATTTATCCGACGATGTTGTTCTATGTGTCGAATGGTTTTCTCAGATTTTAAAATTCCTAGACGTCATTATACATAAGCGATAAATATGAAAGAGAAAAAAAAGGATGAAGGGTACTTTGGAGTTTTACTATGGTTCAATGTGTGGGATTATGTGTAAAACTACCCTAGTAGTCAAAAGTGTTTTGTTGTGTAATTAAACTTACAAAAACTGACCTACAATGTAATTGTTTCTAAATATAATATAACTCGTCTGAACAAAAAATATATATATAACTCGTTAATTTAGTAGATAAAAACACCATTCCGTTTGTTAGCCATTCTGCTTAATGGCGAATCTAATTGTAACACATGTCTCCTCCTTCACTTGATATCGGCGTGATAACAATCCACAATTTATATCAAAATCCATAAAAACCTGAAAGTCGACTTTCATATTAAAAATAAAATAAATTCATAAATCCAATAACCAAAATAACTGAAATAATCGTCAAAAATAGCAAAATGTAACTTTGAAAATAAAGGAAAACGCCTAAAAACACTATTCGTCCGATCGATATCCTACTTTTCTGTCTCACCTAAAAAGGAAAATAAAGGAAAACGCCTAAAAACACGGGAGTCACTGAGTGAGGTGTGAGATGCTAAAGCCAAAGTTTAATGACTTGAACAAAACACTCGAATAAAGATAGTTTAATCCTAACATATGACAAACACGGTACTTAAAATATTCACGAAACATACAAGGTCTCTAGGTACGGGGTAAGTGCCAGCACACCCCCAAATAAAGGTATCCCCTTATAAGAGGATTCATGTATGGGACTACTGCCCATACACACCGCCAAAGATGCTTATCGACCTCTAGGCTACGACCAACATATCAACTAAAGCTGACCGTAGCAGACACCACAACACATACACTGACCTATATAAGTCCGTCTCTACATCCGGCTTACACTCCCATAACTCTTAAAAAATAACTATATTTATATAATCAACTCGATGTGAAACAAACAAGGTTGAACTATCTAACTTCTTACATCTGGTTTAAGTAAAGAACCTAAACTATATCAAACATACTCCAAACTGACTCAATTCACAAAGACGAAATATATAGAGCTAAACTATATTTATTCAAAATTCTATGGCCGTGTACGATAAATTACGAGAATAGCCCTCACCTTAGAAACTGAAAAAGTGGTATCCATGAACTCTTGCTGTTCAAATAGACTGCAAAGCTGAAATAAGAGAGAAAAATCGAGTCAGAACCCTCTTCAAACGATTGACCGACAGTCTGGTAAAAGTCAAACCAAGAAAACCAACCAAACCAGATCGGTTAACCTAACCAAACCGAAATCACATCAAACCGGCCGATTAAGCCTTAACCACACCAAATCAATTTAAACCTGTTACCGAGTCAACTGAGTTGACTCACCAGGTTGACTCGGTCGAGTTGACTGAGTCACTGATGGCGGTAACCAGCGGCGAGAAAACACGGCGGTTTACCGGAAACATCAACGGCAGCAAGTACTCGGGCGAACAAAGGCGGTAAGCGGTGGCGACGGTTGCAGACTGGAGGCACATGAGCAGTAGTGGCTCTGAGGGGAAGTAAAGGAAGCATAGGCTTCCGGCCTTTTTTGTTTATGTAAAATATCAGCCAAATATTTAATAAAACATTAAGTAGATTAGTGGTTAATGAAAGTAAAAATTGAGATTTAGGTAATGGGTTCAATTCCTACCTACAACAATAGGTCTTTTTTTCTATTAATTGCTTCCAGTCTATAAATATTCAGGGCCGACACTGCACATAAGGGAGTGTGGTTGGTAGACTACGGCTGGTCTCGGAGATCCGGACCCATCTCGACAAGATGAGCTCGATGGTGACTTTAGATTTTCCAAATGACAAGCGGTTAGAGACTTATACTCGATTTGCTAAACGATTTCAAATAAAGCTAAGTCACATGGCAGTTCTGGAGTTACCTTCGGCGGAGATCAGTGGTTTCGTGACGGGTCTACACTCGGTCGATGGTGACTGCGCTGACACGTACTCTAAACTCCTTGACGGCTCAATCTTTTCAGGGTTTCGATGCTCTGATACCATTTTGCACAGCCAAGAGCGGACGTCGTATTGACAAAGTCGTGTTGGCAGACGAGGGTCTGCAATTTCCAGGTAAAGGGAGCGATATTACCACTACTCTAGGCTAAATTTTCTTGAATAAAATTATAAGAAGATTTGTTCAAATAGTGGGAACTAACTTAATGTTTCCAGTAATGGAACTGGACTTTGACAGGCAGAAATGTCTGGGTCAGGATTGGATCATTACACAAATGTTATTTTTTTACTTAAAGATTCAGGGGATAATCTGAAAGTGCAGATTAACAGGGAACCAAAACCCTATAAAACTCTTTTCCATTATTTTATTATATTATAATTTTAAGTAGAAGACATTAAAATTATGAATGAAAGAAATATTGGAGATTCACTCGCTGTATCAGAAACTAAAACAATGTTCTTGTTCATTCCTATCATCATGCTTCATTACTACAAAGCAAATTCACCAGCTCAGCTTTCTTCATCTTTGAAATTCCTTTAAGACCCCTTGATTTTGCTATTGCTCTGAGTTCTATCAACTTCAGTGCACTCAGGTCTTCATCTTTCGCAATGTCTTCCTCAGCATTGATAGACTCATCATCTGATAATGCATCTACAGCGACCTCATCCTCCTCATGGTAAAATGACTCTGGTTTCAGCTCTGGCTCTGATTCCAGAAGGGAAAGTGCTGGTTCAGGTTCAGGTTCAGGTTCATATTCAGGCTCGTATTCAGGTTCATCACGGGAATCTACTTGATCCTTTTTCTGAGTCCAAGTCACACTGTAACTTGATGCCTCATCAAAAATGGCCTCACTAGAGTAACTGGACTGAGGTTTATGTCTTGGAACAGGTGAATTGCGTCTGAAGCTTGAGGCTGGCCTGGTAAAGGGTGTTGCATTATGATCCCTGTTTCGCGAATTGAAATGATTGGAACTGTGAACCTGTCTTTCAGCATCATCATCATCAGCATCTCCTTGTAGCTGCTTCTCAGAATTAAAATCGCCAGCTTTCTTCTTTCCTTGTTCTCCTGAGTGCTTCCTCAGTAACTTAAGAAGAGAGTCCACTGTCTCAGTCTCTTTTCCTCCTTGTCCTTTAGAAGCTTCTTCCGCCTTCTTATCTTCTTTCTTAGCAGCAGCTCGAGCTCGGAGCTGAGCTTGGACTTTCCTGAAAAGATCTACTATATCTTTCTCTCTTGGTCCAGGTGATGAAGTAGCCTGGAACTTCGGGGAATTGGATAGAGAGAAGACAGGACCGTTTTTGGAAGACAAAATATCAGAGTCTTCAACGCCACCAACACCACCACCGTCTAAACTGTCTCTATCTTCGTTCCGCCTGTTCCTACCTCTGAAACCATTCCTATTATTTCTTGAGAAATCAGGATTGTTTCTCCTATGGCCAGAAGAACTTGCTCGGCACACCAATGAAATTCTCTTACGGGCATAACGACCATTCTCGATGTGAACCAGACAGGAAGAGTAAGGTAATACGGCAAGTGTTCTTTTAGACACAGCAGAGTTAGAGATGCTCCTGCTATCTGAACCTCTATAACCTGTTTTTACCAAAACCAACACATTACAAAGTAAGGAGAGTATAATCCATTACTATTACAATCGAACTGAAAGCTTTCACAATACAAAAGGTACAAACTCTCGTCATCTCGTAATGACACAATGGGAAACTGAAAACGTGAACCCTTACGTTTAAAAGTAACATGTCGGTTAAGCAAACTAATGTAATGAACTAAAAGCAAGCAAGCAGTTCTTACATGAGACCCAAGTTCTAGCATATATATCAAGACATTGATTCATCTGAGACCCATATAAAGCAAAGCAATTCTTGATTTCTTTCGGATTGAAATTGATAAGAAAAAAATGCAATTTGTTTATTCAAAAAGAAGAGTACGGAAGTAACTAACCTCTATCAGTTACCACTTTCACACAGTCATTTCATCGAACAAGTGGTCGACATAAAAAAATAAAAATCTTATCCAAAAACATTTTTTCCGACTTTCTAATTCCAAGAAGAGACCTTTTATGCAAAAAAGTTCTAGTTCTAGTGAAAGAAGCATAAACCTATTGAGAAATTAGTATGCGTTCCTGCGAGGAAGACGAAAACAATTTTATACTAATAACGAAACTTCGAGAAAGAGAGTATATGAACATACCAGGAATGTAATTAGAAGTAAGCTGCAAAGTTCCTGAAAGCGCCATGAACAGAGAGAGGTTTAGCTTCTTCCTCTTGCATTGGCTTTTCTCAAATCTTTCTCCTTTGACGATGTTTACAGCTCTTTTTAGTCTCATGGGCCTTTAAACAGAAGACCATTAGTTATATTTAAATTTGGGCCTTAAATTAAGGATTTAGCCCACATTAAAATTAGTTCATAATTCGTCCGACATAGGGGGTTCTTCTGTTGTACGTTGCACGGGGACGCCATATTGGTGCCGTCTCACGTACCAGGTTCGGATGAGGGAAGGGTACGGCGGGGAAGCGTCCCCAGCACATACAAGGTGAACTCGGGACAGCATGACTTAACAGGGACGGGTTTGGTCAAAGACAGGAGACATCCCCGAAACGTTTCTAGCCAAAAGGAACGTATCTATTTGGTTTTGGTTTTGTGAGTTACGAAGTGTACCGTTGTTTTTTATTTATTCATTCTTGTAATTCTGAAAATATTAAAAGATATAATAAAACAATTGTTTTTCAAAATTCAAAAGTTTTTTAGTCTCTTCCACTTCCACATGATCTCTTCTACTCCCATCTTCTTGCTTCTCTTTGACTCTCAAGTTTCAACCCTTTCGTAACAACTCAACGTTTCTCTTTAGCAACTTATGTATCTATGAGTGTGTCAAAGTTCCTAGTTTCTCTCTCGCAAACAACAACAGGTAAGCATGTTTCTTCTTCTTGTCTCTTTTTGATTTTTATGTTTTTGTTATTTAAATATTTTTCATTAGCAACTTTGAACTTTATGATTTTTTTTGTCTGTGTTTCTGTATAGCGTATACGAATATATGATTACATGTGTCTCTTGTCTCTGGTTTTATTTGATGTATCATGTGTCTTCTATAAATTCAGATTAAGAAGATGAACTCTCAAGCTGATTCATCAAGTGAAAAAGAAGAACCTCCACTATAGAATTATGTTACTAAATTGGAGAAACTAGGAGCAACGTGATAAATTTGGAGATTCAAGTACAGTTTTTGTAATGAGATTTGACAAGGATCATATTCTAGAGTCAAAGCACATTTACTTGGAGTCTTTGTACAAGACCAACAATGGCTGAAAGGGTTGAAATGAAGAAGCTGGAAAATGAATTTGAGCTGAAAAAGTCTGAGTCGGGATCTAGAGAAGTTCCATTGGCGTGTGAATCTCTTTCTAAGAAAACAAAATCTTGCTTTTCACCAATTGTCGCAGCATTTGGTATTCAAGATAGAGATCAGTTGGATCAAGAAATTTCAAGGATGTTTTACACAGGAGGTCTGCTCTTCGATCTTGCAAGAAATCCTAGCTATAAACGGTCTTATCAGTTTGCTGCTGCCAACAAAATTATTGGCTATGTACCTCCAAGTTATAATAGACTCTGAACGACTTTATTGCAGCAAGAAAAGAAGAATTTCAAGAAGTTGTTAGTGCCACTGAAACATCTGATTAATTTCATAGCTACTTTTGGAAGTGCTCATATGTTTCTTAAGGCTGATCATTTTTTCGGTGAAGTGAAAGACAAAGTCTTCATTTCTAAATTGTTGGAAGAAGTTATTCATCAAGTGTGTGATCAGAATGTTGTGCAAGTAATCACTAATAACACACCAAACTGTAAGACTGCTGGAGACCTTATTGAGGGCAGGTTTCCTCACATCTATTGGACACCATGTGTTGTTCATACTTTCAATCTAGCTTTGAAGAATATATGTGCAACAAAGAATGTGCAGAGGATTCAAGAAACATATGAGGAGTGTAATTGGATTACTGAAATTCATGGAGATGCTCTTGCAATAAAAAACTTCATCATGAACCATGGCATGAGACTTGTTGGGCCCAAATATGGCCCGTCGGCTGAAGCTAGCGAATTAGTTAAACCAAGCCCAATAATGAGCCGAATATGGGCTACTACCTCAAAGAAGGATACAGCTCACCTAAGGAAGGAAGCTGCTCTCGAGAAAGAGGTCACGAGAAAGAGGTCACGAGAAGGAGGTCACGGAGAAGAGGTCCGGATTCTTTCGTAGGGACCTGACAAAACAGCTTGGGAAACGTGCAAGACTTAGTCAAGAGGAAGTTGTTGCAAATCCCGCAACTCACGGAGATAATCATGGAGGCTGCGCCGGAAGAAGTTGGACGTGACCTAGAGCTATATAAAGAAGAGAAGAGATCAGAGAGAAAGGATTCGATTCATTCAACATAAAAAGACTCTAATACTCTTTGTTCTTGGTCATATTTCTATCAACCATTGTTCTCTCTATTAGATCGTCAAGATCATCCTTGTAAACTCTTTTTTATCATAAAAATCAATATAAACAACGTAATCATTCATACAAGTTCCAACAGGATTCAGCCCACGATTATCTTTTCCCAATCTATACCTAACCTAAACTAGGAAGTGAGTTTTACCCCTCACATTTTGGCGCCGTCTGTGGGGACGAGATAATTGAATCATTCACTCCGTAACTTGAGAATGGATCCATCCAACCAGGCAACGAATCCATCCGTCCCGGATCCCGTGATCCAGATCGACGGATCACCGAACAGAAGAGATCCGGACCCTCAGGATCCGGAACCTCAACCCGCTGACCTTCGATCCGAGCAACAGCCTCCGGCTAACGCTCAACCGAACCGAACTGGGATAGCTAACCCGAGTTCTTCCGGTGGAAACAACACCGGAACTACTCCTCCTGAAAACCCTCAACGCCAACACACTCCGCATCATTCGGAAGCTCAGCTATCCGAAATGCGCCGAATGATGGTACAGTTGGTAGAAAGAGCTCAGGACAATGAGCGTACCTTGCAACAGCTAACTGCCCGGCAGCAACGGTTCGAAGAGGTGACGAGATCTCTAACCGAGAAAACTCAGCTATCACAACGCCAAGGCTCAGGAATTGCCTTTCGAGATCGACTCACCGAACCCACGTTCCCTCGCGGACGCCTAAACTTCTCCCCCAACAGCATTGCTCATAATGGGCAAGAGCCTGTTTTCCGGACACCTCATACCGGGGCAGCCCCAGTATTCAGTCCGCCCGTAACTAGTGCTATGGGAAGTAACATAGCGACGACTAGCTCAGCACCCAATAGGGTTCACGAACACAGCACCCGATTGCCACCTCCGCCACCTATCTTTAGGTCCGGAGAAGGGATGTCTCCCCCTCCTAGAGGCAGGGCACCGACCTCAGCTTACCAAAATGGAAGCGCGACCCCTAACCGAGATAACCCGAGGACGGAAGCTGATCCCACAGCTCACCCCCCGGGTTACGTCCCTCAAAGTGGCTCTAGAGCTAACGAGC